TGCTGAACGTACTTCACATTTTCGTAGACGCCCCGGTTCCTCAAGACCTGCCCGAGAGAGGGGCCAGTCAGAGCAGGCCAGGTCTGTGTCTGGAGCTCAAGGGACCGGTTTGGTTTCTCTATTCCCTCGATTGTGTTGCGTTACATTAACAATGCAGACCAGTGTTCCCTCTGAGCTGAGTTAGTGTGAGCTGGCTCACAGTTTTTTAGCCTCCGGCTCACACGTTTTCGTTCTAACTCAGGAAGGATGGGGCTCCAGAGCAAACTAACTGATGCAGGAGCCAAATCGCTCGCTCACAACTTTAATGCCAGAGTAGCGCGCAAAGGAGAATTTTGGCTCACAAGACTCCACAGCTTAGAGGGAGCATTGCTGCAGACTCTTCCTCTTGGTACCTGGATCAACGTTTGACTCTAGTGGCACCTCTAAGGCCAACAGAGAATCATTCTGGGCCTCGGCGTTCGTGTCTGAGGAAGTGGGCAGGCACAGAAAAACTTATGTACCCAGAATAAAACTTTGCTGGCCTTAAAGCTACCACTGGATTCAAACCCACACTCTGGCCCTTTTCACACGACCCTTCTAAACTGGATGTTATTCGTTGTTGGCCTTCTTCCAACTCACCGAATCGACAGCCTCGTGCTGGGAGAAGCCGATGGGGGCGATGCCGTAGATCGACACGGCCAGGATGGTGATGAGCGAATGCACGAAGGTGACCCAGTACGTGAAGAAGGGCCTGCGCGGAGGACAGCGAGGGCTGGCTCAGTGCGGGGAGGGGGTGGCCGGCCCCCCACCCCGCCCACGGACACACACACCCCCCGCCCGGCCCCTCCGCCGCCGCACCCACCGGTGGTCGTCCATGTCCTCGATCTGCTGCTTGACGTAGCTGTCGATGCGCTTGCGGTAGGTACGGTTGGTCAGGCGGCCCACCATGCCCAGCCCGTAGGGGCGCTTCTCTTTGGCGAAGAGCTGCCGCACGGGCACGGTGATGCGCTGGCCGCGCCGCTGCAGGCCCAGACTCACCACCTCCTGGCGCAGGCGGATCTTGGGCTGGAAGACGGAGGAGGCCTCCTTCTGCTTCCGCCAGCCACGCTCCAGCGGCCTGGGAGGGCAGAGGGGCCGGGCTGTGACGGGCAGCCGGCGGGTCAAAGCCACCCCACTGGGCCACGCAAGCCAGCAAAGGGCCCCCCCCAGTGGGGGAGGGGGGAAAGGCCATGCAAGGAAGCTCCCCTCCCCCTGGGAAACGGCCACAGGCTGCCCTCCTGCCCCCTCCCCACAGCCCTTTCCTTGCCCATCAGCTCCACCCACAAGGGACACCAAAGACCCACATGGGGGGAAGGAGGAAGCATCCAAGCAGGGTTGGAACACTTTCCCCATGAAGAAAGGTTAAAGCGCCTGAGGCTCTTTGGCTTGGAGAAACGACGGCCGAGGGGGTGACATGATCGAGGTTTATAAGATTATGCATGGGATAGAGCAGGTCGAGAAAGAAGGACTTTCCCCCCTTTCTCACAAGACAAGAACTCCTTGTGGGCACTCCATGAAATTGCTGAGCTGTTGGGCTAGAACGGATAAAAGGAAGTCCTTCTTCACCCAAAGAGTGATTCACCCATGGAATTCACTGCCACAGGAGGTGGTGGCGGCTACAAGCATGGACGGCTTCAAGAGGGAATTGGATAAGCATATGGAGCAGAGGTCCGTCAGTGGCTATTAGCCACAAGGTATAGATAGGGGCTCTGGGGCAAGTGATGCTCTGTATTCTTGATGGGGGGGGGGCAACAGTGGGAGGGGCTTCTAGTGTCCTGGCCCCACTGCTGGACCTCCTGAGGGCACCTGGTGTTTTTAGCCACTGTGTGACACAGAGTGTTGGACTGGATGGGCCATTGGCCTGATCCAACATTGGCTTCTCTTATGTTCTTAATACGGAGCAGAGGTCCGTCAGTGGCTCTTAGCCACAAGGCATGGACAGGAACTCTCGGTCTGGGGCAAGGGATGTTCTGTATTCTTGGTGCTTTCGGGGGGGGGGGCAACCGTGGGGGGGCTTCTAGTGTCCTGGCCCCACTGGTGGACCTCCTGAGGGCCCCTGGTGTTTCTGGCCACTGTGTGACACAGAGTGTTGGACTGGATGGGCCTTTGGCCTGATCCAACATTGGCTTCTCTTATGTTCTTAATACGGAGCAGAGGTCCGTCAGTGGCTCTTAGCCACAAGGCATAGACAGGAACTCTCGGTCTGGGGCAAGGGATGCTCTGTATTCTTGGTGCTTTCGGGGGGGGGCAATAGTGGGAGGGCTTCTAGTGTCCTGGCCCCACTGGTGGACCTCCTGAGGGCCCCTGGTGTTTCTGGCCACTGTGTGACACAGGGTGTTGGACTGGATGGGCCAGTGGCCTGATCCAACATTGGCTTCTCTCATGTTCTTATAGATAAGCATATGGAGCAGAGGTCCGTCAGTGGCTCTTAGCCACAAGGCATAGACAGGAACTCTCGGTCTGGGGCAAGGGATGTTCTGTATTCTTGGTGCTTTCGGGGGGGGGGGGCAACAGTGGGAGGGCTTCTAGTGTCCTGGCCCCACTGGTGGACCTCCTGAGGGCCCCCCTGGTGTTTCTGGTCACTGTGTGACACAGAGTGTTGGACTGGATGGGCCAGTGGCCTGATCCAACATTGGCTTCTCTCATGTTCTTCTGTTCTCACCCTTAGGATTTTCTCAGATATTAACTGGGAATCAGGAGGCAAGGGAAGAAACAAATCCTACATCACTGAGTGCTGTTTCAACGGGTCCTCGTCATCGATGGGTCTGGCGTAGCTTTTGTTTGGGGGGGGCGGGGTGTCCTCTTTGGGGCATCGCAGCAGCCTGAAACCTCTGTGTCAGGTCCACCGGACCCTACGGCTCTCTTCTGATTCCCTGGCACTCTGTCCAAAGGGGGAGGGATGGAGGAGTTTGAGCCACTGGCCCGATGCTCAAGCACGCGGGCTGCTCTGGACCCAGGGGCAATCAACAGTCACCGTAGACAGGGGCCTGCTGGGTCAGGCCCTGCCTTCTCGGGGGGGGGGGGGAAGAGCCTCTGCGGTCACCCCAGCAATGGTGAAATGGGGGGGAAAGGCGACGCTACATGAATCACGAGGACCCGGAGAGTGAAGGGAGAGGAAATGGAGAACTTCAAGAGGACAACCCCCCCCTCCCCGAGGAAGGGCCGGAAGGGGGGGGGGTCCGGTTCCGCCACGGCCTGACTCACAGCATCAGGTGACTCCTCTCCAGCTCGCTTCGGTCCAGGGCCCCCCCGGTGAGTGCCGGCTGAACAGACGGGGGGGCTTTCAGGTCAGCGTCCCGGAGGGCGGCTTCGGAGGGCGACTCAAAGACCTCGTCGGGGTAGGTGGAGAGCTCTTCCTGGAGGACTCCTTCCTGGCAGGAGAGGGCAGGCTCAGAGACACCAGGAGGGGGGGGGAGATCCCCGCAAGCCCCTGGCCGGCCCGACATGCCGCAGCCCCCACCCCTTACCCGGGCAAAGAAGGAGGTGTCCAGCTCATCCGGGAAGTCCCCCGTGTCCTCCTCCAGGAAACTGGCCGGGGTGAAGCTGCGCCGCTGGGCGGCCCGGAGGGTGCCGTCTTTCACCGAGCGGCCCTGCGGGAAGGAGAGCACCCGGGCAGCTGCCGGTCAAGCGGTTGGGAAACACAGATGGGCAGCGCACAAAGGTGAAGTGACTGGATTTATACCCCCCGGCCCTTCACTGCCCAGGGGAGGCTCAGAGCGGCTTACAAACTCCTCTCCCTTCCCCTCCCCACCACAGACAGACACCCTGGGAGGGAGGTGGGGCTGAGAGAGCTCTCTCAAGGACCGCCCTTCAGAGAGCAGCTCTGAGAGAACTTGTGGCTGGCTCCTGTCGCTCGTGTGGGCTGGCAAGGCAGCAAGAGACCACCCCCTGGGGGAGGCCCCCCCTGCCAGGCAGAAGGGAGCCATGCGGTGCCCCCATCCCTCCTGGGGGGGCCCCGCCACCCCCAGATGCCCACTGCCCCCCCCCGGGCATTCACCTTCACCAGCGCCGCCGCCGCCCGGAAGCTCATCTTGGCGACGGACTCCCTCTTCCTCCTCCGGGGCCAGCGGTTGAACCCGGACCGTGAGCTGGTGAAGGAGCAGAGAGACGCAGCCCCAGGCGTGATCGGCGTGTGGGGCGTGCTGTAGCCGTCCGCGTCGTCGGGCATCCGGAAGGCCCGTCCCCGGGCCAAGGGGTCGATGATCTGCCACCAAGGAGAGGCCGCTGGTCAGAGGAAAGGCACCTCAGGGCCCACCCGTAGGGGGAAACATGTGGGATTAGGGAGAAGCACGTACATTGACCAGGCCCTTCGGAAGAACCCCAAAAGCTTCGACAAGCCACTCCACTCTGTCCTCCTCCTGGTTTCGGACCGGGGTTCAGGGTTAGGCAGAGGCAGCCCCCTCCCCCCCCACACCCGAGGCCACCACTCACCCTCTGCATGCCCAGCGGGCAGGGGGGCACGTAGAGCGGAGGGGGCGTCTCCGTGCTGGCCAGGGAGATGTTGTCCTGGCTCGGGAGGTCCAGCTCGCGGATCACCTGCGGCTTCAGCTTCCCGTAGCGCATGCTGCAGTGCCGCAGGCTTTTGCGCTGCCACTTCTGGGTGGCGTCGCTCTCCTTGCTGACGCCGAACCAGTCCGCGGTGCCCCTGTGGAGAGCGAGGCGTGCCCCTGAGAACCCACAGCCGCCGGGGCCCCAGGGCAGCCCCGAGTGTTTCCGTCAGCCCGCCACTGGTCTCACCATCGCCACACGCTGCGCCGGACTCTCCCGGCCCTTCACGCTCTGCCCGGGCCATGCCACCCAGCAGCCTTGACGGTCGCCAAGGACAAAGCCAGAGGTGGGCGGTTAGCGGCACAGCTGCTGCTGCTGTTAGTGGCGCCCGGGAGAGGCCGGCATCCGGGGAAAGGGCTCATTAGTCAAGGGTTATGCACAGCACTAGGGGGAGGGGGTGATGAAGGCACAGGCCAGGACAAAACGAGGTGCAAAGGCAGGACGGCAACCACATGAGATGATGGGGAAGGGGTGCAGGTCTAGGGGGGGCCAGCGACTCCTTGGCCCAGACTGGGAAGGCAGCTGGCAAGAGACAGCAGCTGCTAGAGTGCTGGTTGAAAAAACATGCTATGGCAGCAACGCCCCCCCCCCCCCGATACACCTCTCTCCGGGCACGAGAAGGTGAGCCGTGCGTGACCCTCCTCATTCAACCCTGCCAGCTGCGCCTGTGATGCCAGGACAAGCAGCCCCAGGCCAGATCTCCGCCTTCTGGGGCCAACGGCAACGTGGGAGATGGAAACACAGAACCATAGAGTTGGAAGAGGCCACAGAGAGACCACCTAGTAGTCCAACCCCCTGCTGCCCAATGCAGGACCAGCCTGAAGCCTCTCTGACACACATTCGTCCAGCCTCTTCTTGAAGGCTGCCAGTGAAGGGGAGCGCTCACCACCTCCCCGGGCAGCTGGGGCCCGTCGCTGCCTCCCAGGTCCAGCCCGCCACCGGCCGAGGCCACTCCCCCTTGCCCCGAGCCTGTCTGGCCGAGGACCTCTCTGGTGCCCTTCCATTGCCAGCACACCAGGCTCTTCCGTTTGTCTGGCACCAGCGCCAGAACGGTGCCCTGGGGAGCAGGCCTCCCCCTCCAGGAACGGGCCTGGGGCCAAGAGGCTCCCTCCGAGCTGCGGAGAGTCTCGTGAGCAAGAACTCTGCTTTGTGAGCTGCTGGCATTGGAGTTGTGAGCCATGAGCGATTGGGCTGCTCCTGCGTCAATGAGTCTGCTCTGGAGCCAGCCTTCCTGAGCGAAGACTGAAATGTGTGTGCCGGAGGCTGGCTCTCACTGACTCAGCTTAGAGGGAGCACTTCCTGGAACTGTGGAGGAGGCAGGCCGCGCTCCGGGAGACGCTGCCACCCCAGGGTCTACCCCTCCTCGGCCGCTGGGCAGGAGAAGGGCTGCTGGGGGCCCCCATGCACTCACACACATGCACTGGCATGGGGCGGGGGGGAAGACGGGTGTCACACCAGCACTGCAGGTACCTGAAGAGCGTTCTGGGCAGGGACTGGCGTTTTCTCAGGGGCCTCCTGCCCACCTGGTGCCCGCGAACGGGCAGGGTCTGACTCCTCTCAAAACGCACCTGCCTGCTGCAAAGGAGAGAGAGCTGAGGGGGGGGGGGCGGAGCTCTACGTGGCCTGCTGGCTGGGACCGGGCAGAGTGCCGAGGAGTCGCCCGGGTGAACCGGGAAGAAAAGGGGCTGCCCTGCTTGCCCTGAGGGGCGATGCTGGCACTCCAAGGCCGGGCCGCAAAGCTGCAGGCAGGGGGGGAGGCCCAGCACGGCCCCCTGGAGAGGGAAGCCGCAGGCGTGGTGCCGCCCCGGAGCCAGAGAGAGAGGAGAGCCCGGGGACGGCCGAGCGACAAGGATGCTACCTCCAGGGCAGGAGCTCAAGGCGGGCTCTACGAGGAAGCCCTGCAGGGTGGCCTTCCGTGGCCCGGGGGTGTCTCTCACCCGCTTCTCCCATGCGGGCGTCTCCTCACTCCAGGACGCGGGGGAGGAGGGTGTACCTGGGGCCTCCCCTCCAGAGAGGACACGTTCCTTCTTGCCGGGACGCAAAGGGGCACGCTGGGAAGCTGCAAGGTCGCCCCTACCCCAACTCAATTTGGGAGAAAGGGGGGCATGAACCGCAGAGTCAACCCCCCTCTCCCCAGGCACGGGCAGCCTTCGTGTTTGTTTCAAGCGTTCGTGTGAAACGAGATGACAGGCGGAGGTGGGGGGAAGGATTTCAGCCCTGGCATCGAGAGACCCCCACCCCCAAACCAGGCATAACAAGCTCTGCAGGAGCCCCACGGCCCTGCTCAGAAATCCACCGGGGCACCTCTCGCGCCAAGAAGAGACAGGCCCCGCCAAAGAAAGACACCATCGTGCCAAATGCCTTTTCTTCCCAGTCCCTGCAAATCCACCACCCCCCCGACAGCTCCGACTTCTCCGGGCACCTCCCATGTGGCCTCCAGAGCGCCTTGGCAACCAGCATAGGTACCACAGAGACCACAGAAGGGTGGCCCCTTCACAGCCACGGCGATCACACCCGGGGAAGCCCCACAGGGCTGTACAGACACACACACACACCTGGTCTGGCCCTCAGTCCAAATGCCCCTCAGTCCACCCAACGATTCCATCGACGAGTCAGGCATCGGCCAGCAGCCAAAGGTGTCTCTCCCCCCGGACCTCCGGCGCTGGGCGGAGCTCCTGTACGGGCAGCGCAGGGTGACCCAAGGGCCAGGCCTTACCTCCGGATGGTCTGGGTGATGGACGTCTGCCGCTGGAGCACCGGCCGCCGAAACTCATTCAGGGGAGAAGAGAAGCGGGTGTTCTCCGCCGGCATGCTGACGCTCCGCAGGAAGGTCTGGCGCTTCAAGGGCTGCGGGAGGAACCAGAGGGCCCGCGTGTGTCAGAGGAGGCTCTGGGGAGCCAGGCCCCGCCCCCCTGCCCTCGGAGGCCTTGAGCCTCCCCCCCCCCCCGAGTCTCCGAGGCCGAAGGGCTCCCGGAGTCCTAGAGGGGGCTGGCTGGAAGGAAGGAAGGAAGGAAGGAAGGAAGGGCTCGCTCCCTGCCGGGGAGAGACACACGCGAGGCCTTTGCCCGAGCCATTCGGCCCCCGCCCCTCCCTGGGTACCTGGGCCAAGGCGGGCTCCTCGCCCGCCACCGCTGCCCCCATGGGCGCAGGAATGTCCAGCTTCAGCCAGGGCGGCTTCTTCCTCTGCAAGCTGCTGGTGCTGTCCCGGCGGGCCTCGGACATCCTCCCGCCTCAGCGGTCAGGCCTGTGGGGAGGGCAGCGAGGTGAGCATAGGGGGCCAGGGGGGTGCGGAGGTGCCCCCTCCCCGCCCTGGGGGACTCAGGGAGGGCAACGGAGGAGGAGGAGGAGGAGGAGGAGGAGGAG